CTGATAATCTGCCAGAAAGCTGTTTATCCCTGAGAGACTATCCACCAGCGAGTCCCTCCCTACCTATCTGCTTTGGTGAGTGATTGTTGCAGTTGTTAGCGCGCGGGATAGAAACCGTAATAGCTACGACGAGATTGCGGGATGCTCAAAGTTACCTTCTATACTGTATTCTTCAATACCTCTACAAAGATTTAGGGCTAAGTTCTTTAATAAACTGAGGCACACCTACGACACAATAAAAAGTATTTATTACTACGGCATCTCGAGTTTGTTCTTTCTACAATATCGTCTGCTTAAGAGTAGAATTTTTTGGGCAGTTAATCTTTTGCTTTGATCCATGAATCTGTGGCAACAGATGAAAAACTGCGTCGGATTCGAAAGCTGAGCACAGAACGGCAATAAAATTGCGCTGCGAAACGAAATTTAATTGAGATTTTTATTTTCAAACATTTTGTGACTGAGGATGAAAACTGATGCTTTCTTTATGATCCTAAGACAAAACGCAGTCATTGGCTTATATTGCAGATGGTTCATCATGACCACAGAAACTTCAAAAATTTCGAGTGGAAACCGTGCTGGCGAACGTTTTTGATTGGCAAAGGATAACTCACATGAAATCAGTTCCTGAGTTACAGGAGGCGAACTTTATTTTATATAGACGTAACTGACAAATGCAGTGGTGTTGGTGTACTTAATTATGGCAAAGCACACTAAGGCTATCTGCCTAAGGGAAGGGATGCCTTCATGGAGGACTTTCTAAGGAAAACTGGCTCGTATACGTTACACATGGGGAAAACTACGAAAACACCCATGCAGCCAGCCCGTTCGCGGGATTCGAATCTCGGACCGAACTACCAGTGTTCAGCGACTTTACCGCTCGGCCGCTGGTGGGCTCCAAACGCAATGGACAAAAGAAGTCAGCACATTGGGTTTGAAAAAGTTCAGTCGAATTACGGACTTCAGCTAAACAACAATGCGTGATCACATAATTTCGTGCTTGTCAATCAGTTTCTAGCAAAAGAAAGTGTCATAATATTCAATCGACAAGCTTACTCACCAGATTTGGCACATGAAGACTATTTTCTCTTCCCCATTCTTATGCGTCAAAGATCATTATTTTAATAGCACTGAAGAGATTCAGGAAATTGTACCCAGAAACTTAAACAATATTCCAAAAATTGAACTCTACCAAAGGAATCAAAAGAGTCGTATGAGTTTACCAAGCGCTGTAAAGACTTGTAAGCAGAGATCTGTCTAAGCACAGCGCGTGTGCGCGAGCGCGCCTTTCAAAAATTTAATGCACAAAGAAAGTAAACAAGCGCACACGCAGGCATGTCACTAATCAAAATAACAGTAATAATGAGAATAACATTTTTACATAACTTTTACAATAAACCATATTCGTTAAAAATTCATTGAAATTTCACATGCGTGCTTGTGTTGCGAAATACCATGTGGTAAATTAAGTGCACATTGTTAAACAGCGATCAGCACGTGGTACGTTGTCGGCCAAGTGTAGCAAATAATATGAATTTATGCATTGCCCTGTATGTTGATGCATTTGTATATAAACCATGGAACACTTTGTAAAAACTATAAACCAAACGAATTATAAAACTGTTTTTAAATGGATTCAGAAGAGACTTTTTTTCGTGGCGTCTGTACGTACGTACGTATGCATGCATGTACCTCGCATAACTCAAAAACGTATAGCCTTAGAACGTTGAAATTTTGCATGTGGGAGTGCCATGACATCTAGATGTGCACCTCCCTTTTTGGTAGCAATCGGCCGTACCAAAAGTATATAAATATATAAATATCCATTCTGTTACTCGGCTCAGTGAGTTCAGTTTCTTTATTCCTACATGTTTATAAATTGTGCATTTTTTACTTTATAAATGATTGAATTATATTGTTTTTATCTTCCGGTTAAAGTTTTTATGCTTTTAATTAAACTGCATATTGTAGTTGTAGAATTATCAACAATTTAACAGTGGTTTAAGTGCGGCTAAGCCTAATTTTTTTACCACAGCAACCATATTTACATTTGAAACTTAGCTGAATAGTGGATTTGTTGCCAATCTAGAGAAACTAAGCTTCCCAACAACAAAGTAATGTCTTCTTTTATTATTGCGAATTAAATTATGCTTAATCAATTCTGGAATTATTACTTAAGTTATTAAATTACCTCATATATATTGACTCAGCATAGCATCCACAACAAATTAAGTCAGTTTCTACACCTTCAGTGTCCTTTTTGCCGAGTGAGCCCAAAAGTAAACTTTCAGTTTTGTGCTCGCTAGGCGAATTGTTTATTTTTACGTACAAACTGTAATTTTAATTCTAAAAAAAATTTTTTTAGTTGTTTTAACTGTATTTGGTGATTTATGTTTTTCTACATCTTTCAATTTTTAGTATAGATATTTTGAGTTTTTATGAATTTTTGCCTTGTTGCGAAGTGAACACTGGATTAATTGAATGAGGAATATATCTCTAATGAAATTCGAGGAAATGAGCTTAAATGAAATGCAGGAAAAAATGCGCATAAATTAATATTCCGTACAAGGAAGTCATGTGATGTATACATCAGAATTTTTTTAAAGAAAAAATAGACAGATAATTGGAAACTGGATTTTTTTAAACGGCATTTAAGTAGTAAATCTCAGTTTAGTAATATTAAGAAGAAAAATCGCTTGCTACTTACAAGGGAATTATATTTATTAAATGGATATCAGACGAAACAATCATCATCATCATGACGAAAGCCTCATCATGATATTTTCATCAGACCGAAACATTAATGAACATCAGACGAAAAAGTCCATTCGTGAAGAAATTAAGCTATTAGTTGATAATGTATTAGTAACAATTAAAAGGAACATTCCGTTGCACTCTGTCCAGAATATAAATTATCATACGGCAAACTATGTTAAAATGCCAGAAAATTGGCGAAGACCTACGCTTTCACGCATTTAGAAATTTAATTCCGCTATAAAAGCCGACATTGAAAAAGAATTCATTTCACACTATAATCGTCGATGAAAGCACTACATTTCTATCAACAAATGTTTCATATTGTACTTCAAATTTAGATATCAATAGAACAACCAGTACTAGATTAATTTTGGTGGAATAATTCAATTAAAATTTTGTTACGCTTTTTCAGTTATTTCGGCAGTAAAATTCTTGTACTAGAAAATAATACTTATTGACAAAAAATGGTTATGTTTACTTCCGATGGGGCAACTGTTATGCTAGATCAGATAAATGGAGTAGCAGTAAAACTAAAAGAAGATATACCGCATTTTGGTTCAACAGTTCTATGTTACACGTCGTGAAGATTTGGGTTTTTGAGATGATTAAAAAAAAAGTTTAAAAAATGAGAGATATGGAAACTGCGATGAGAACGATATACATCGTATTTTCTAAATATTCAAGAAAGCGAGATAAATTTCAAGATATTGCTACTGCTTTAGAAAATAAAGCTATTCCCTTTAAACTATAAAATCATGTTAGATGTTACCTAGAAGTTTTGCACTGAAAACAACAATTAAAAATTATGAAAGATTAATTGAATATTTTAAAGAAGATGAGTTGGAAAAAGCCCTCTTTTAAAACTAAATGTATAATAATTTGTTTATTTATTTTAATCAGAGGACTTTGATCAGTAAATAAAAACTGTAAGAATTAAAAATTATTCTTTTAATATTTGCACAGAATTAAAAATAATTAAATTAAAAACTGAAAATAATTACTCAGTAATTATTTAATAACATACTACTGATTAAATACCTCAATGTGGAAACATTTTTTGCTGAAAAAGCACATGCCAATTAATTAGATGTCGGAATTCCAAATGAGAACGTGTGAAAAAAAAATATTTTTCCCACATTAAATTCATATATTTCTTCTCTAACATGTTAATAACAGAAAACAAAATTCAAAAGAATTTAGCAAACTTTTAACTGTAACGTTATTTGACGGACAAATGTTTAAACACTCATATATTAGGCAAATTCCATTAAACATTAGAAGAAAATATTTAAGAATATGATAGAATTAAAATTATGTAACTGATATCAATTCAAGCTCCCCTTCATATGTAGTATAATTAAAATATTAATTTATAATGTATTCATATCATTAAGACAAAATCATTATTTTGTCGTGTTCCGACTTGGGAAAACATAAACAAAAAATAAGCGTAAATATTTATTCTTAAAATATATGATTACTTAACTGGAAAATGAACACCAGAAAAAAGGCGGAAACCATAATTTATAGCTTTTACAGTTTTAATTTACCATGCAGAAATTTTACCTGCTAAAATAAACAAGTGTCGAAAAGTGATAGACTTCTAAAATTTTAATTAAATTACCCATAATTAATGCCAATAATACGCTACGAAAACTGATGATTTTTAAGAGTTACTAAATTGATAATGTAAACATATTTATAAATCCACACGAACAAATCTCAAACGAAATTTAATACTTTTTTAAATTTACCACACAATAGTTTTTATAAATTGCCATACCATTTAAAATATAAATTTATCACGCGATACAATTTATCAGTTAGTTCAAATAAAAGATGCGATCAATGTTGGTAATTTTCAAAATTTTAATTTTAGTTATTCATCAGAACTTTAGCATTTCAGAAACTTTATCATGATTTAAAAACCTTACTTAAACTGTATAACCAAAAGTGTAGGCTTTTCATAATCTAAATACGAATTTAAAGAGCAATATATTATTATTTGTTATAATTATAATTTTACTTGTTTACATATCAGAATATATTATTATTTCACTAAAGGTTTATTAGACTTATTTACGACATTTAATATTGTTTATCGATAATGAACTACTAATAAACTGATTTGTGACACTTAAATTTATATGTGGTAAATATTCACTACAGCCCTCAATGATATTTTCCGGTCCTTTTCTAAGACACTTCACTATAAATGGAATGATTTCGGAAAATTTGGTACTTACCACGCTGATGATGATGTCCAGTTATTTTCAGCAGCAAGAAATGTTAAACAAAAGAAAAACCGGAGTTATTCCTTGAATTGAAACTGTCACATGGCGTGAACAATCACACGCGCGATTACGTCTCCACCACCAACAAGCACACCGACCTAAGTCTATTGTATACGAAGCACGTAACTGAAAGTATGACTGGCATGTCGCTACCAAGAAAGAAATCGCCAATTTGGCGATAGGTAAGTCACATTCGGCGCCAAATTTCAGAGGAAGCAAAAATGGTATTATTCATGGCATATATCTTCAGTTAACTGCATTATTTTAAACACGAAAAACTGATTTAAATTTTTGCGAATAAGCAGCATTGCTTTATATTCCTTAATTTTTTCGCTTAAAGTAAATATTACTTTTAGTATTAAATATTCTTTTTATCATATTAAAGATTTTTATTTTAATAACGATTAATATAGAGAAGATAACGAGAACAAGCGTAATCTAACTCATTAATGACAGACAGTTATGAATAAAGGGGGGGGTTCTTGATTTAATACTTTTGTTAACGATTTTTGCTATTTAGAGGAATTTTTCGCCCCCTCCCCATCTCGCTTGTTCAAAAGGAGGGGAAAGGGTGTTCAATTTAACAAATATTTTTCACAGCTTAACAAATATTAAAAAAATTCCAAATTTGTTCAACTTTTGATTTTTTTCAAGTAAACAAAGCAACTTTTTTTGGAGGAGTTAAAGCAAGAAGAGTCGGCTTAATATTCATAAATTTGCAGGACTAGTTTCGAAGGTTTAAATATAGAATCCCCTTCTGCATCTGCAGAAGTGCTAATTTTTGAACATTGCGCTGATTCTTATTGCTTCAGTACCTTCAATAATGATTATGTGCCGTGTTAGTTTAACTCATAAAAGCCAGTTTTAGTTCAGCAATTATTTTAAAAATTACATGCAAGTGGTATTCACACGTAAGAAGATATTTTCCTCATTTTTGAATGCTGCTTTTTTCCTACCAAAATACACATGAAAATTTTAGTTTTTAGATACGGGAATACTAGCAAATATATATGTATTGGCTAGCACCACGACCAAAGAATACAAGTCGAAACTGGATATGTATTCGAAGCATGTAAGTGCGATGACACTATTTGTTAAATGTTAGATATATTTTTGTATATATTTTCGAAATTTTAATAAATGCCCGAGGTCTTGGTTGGGAGTGCCAGGGCTCGCAGAAGGTCTCGGGGCTGTCAATGTGGGGTGAAAGAGATGTTTCGCGTAGCGACAGCTTGGTAGGTCCTGTGATCATCTGGTTTTCTCTAGACCGAAGTGTAGTGGGACTATACCTACATTACTTATAGTAAACATTGGATGTCCCACTACATTTCCGCCTGAACCTGAACTGGATACGGGAATGCTTTTATTTCATTTGGTTTGGTTGATAAAGGCAAAGCACGCGTGGGCTGTCTGCTTAATAGAAGGAATGTCTTCGTGGAGGACATTCTCAGGAAATTAGGTTGTGTCCAAATTATACATACGGAAAACCACGAAAACTTTCATGCAACCAGCCCGTTCGCCTGGAATAAAATCCAGGTCGAAGAACCAGTGTCCAGCGACTTTACTGCTAGGCCTGTGAGTGGACCTTCTGAGGGAGAAATAGAAAATCTGAGTTGAACTACCAGTGTTCAGCGAAGTCAACCACTCGGCAGTTGGTAAGCGTAGAAATGTGAATAATTCTAATAAAAAAACATGAACAAACGAACATTGAACGATCTGGCACTAAAATCTCAAACTACAATATTTAAACGTGTTCTTGATGCGACGGATTTTTGTCTCAGGGTCGTGGATGAAATGGCACCAGATACACTCAATAACTAATTTCAAACCTTTAAATGTTTTATTACAAGGTGCAGTCTAATGCTATTTACCTGCTGATATAAAAAATATAGTGGAATATTGTTGCTTAGTCAAATGTGGCACAGCATGCTAGGGTGTCAGAAATTTCTATGGGGGATCTGGCGAGTTTTCACATTACACATAGTGTAAACTGTAGAAACAGCTATGAAATTAGGCCAATAACTAGGTTTCGAATCTGCTTGAACTACCAGTGGCTATCAGTGATCGAACAAATAAAACAGAGTTCGACCTGGGTTCACACCTTGGCGAATTAGCTGGTTCAAGGAGCGTTTCTGTGGTTCTGCCTATGTTTAATGTAATAAGAGACATTTTCCTTTCGAATATTCGCCATGAAGGCATCCTTTCCCTTAGATAGCACTAATATCCTTTGCTATAATCCAATAATCTAATCCAATTCGAACTGCCAATGTTCAGTGGGTTTATCCGCTTAACCTCTGGTGTGCGATACTGAGGAAGGGAGGAATGAAATTTCACCTGTCTATTATTTTCAAGTCATTCTGAGGAAGTGTTCTATCTAAAAAATATGTAGCGGAATCTAACACCTCGAAAAGTTTACCATCGAAATTTCAAAATGTTAAAAAAAATATGTTAAAGAATTAAAAAGTATAAAAGACATAAACTTTAACCCCTTAACTGCTGCGGGCGTATATATACGCCTTGCTCAGCCGATGCGTTAACTGCCCCAGATGCGCCCAGATGCGCACCGATGCGTTTAACTTTGCGAATATTTTAGGTGTAGCAGCGCAAGCAATGATAGCAGTTTGGAAGGACGTATATATACGCCTGGGCAGTTAACGCATCGGCTGAGCAAGGCGTATATATACGCCCGCGGCAGTTAAGGGGTTAAAATACTTCAGTCTGATTTTCGTATGCAAATGCCAGTTTAACGTCCAAAACAGTTTTAAGCTAAGTAATAACAATCAGATTACTTATTTAAAAATCAATCCACCGAAATTTTTGCCATCGGTAGCCGAGTATTAAGGCCGTTAAGTACTGGTAAGTTTGGTTCGATTTTTTTCTGATCTCGGATAGCGGGCTGATTATTTGAAAAATTTAATACTCTTCAATCTGTAAAACGTGAGTGCAGACCTGTTTCCCTTAGAAAGAACTTCACGAAGGCATTCGTCCCTTTAGCCAAATAACCTCGCGAAATTTCCCATAATCAAAATAATCCATTCCAAATCCAGTTTAAATCACATTTCAGATTTTGAACATAATGATTTGAATATAGAACAGAATGAAGTAAAAGCTGTTAGCCCATTCACGTTTCATCCAAAGGGTTTCCCCTCCCCCCTTCATTTTGCATTTCTATTTACCTGTTCAAATTTAATGACAAAAATAAAGGAAACCTGCCCACAATAACCAACTTCCTGAACCAACTACATTTGCTCAAAGGTATTCAATAGGAACGGCCGAAACCAATGGTCCTTTAGCCCACATCACCGAGAATGTTAACCAGGGTGCACCACAGGAAGAAGATCGATATTGCATCGCAAAAAAAGAAAAAGACGAAAGAGAGGTAAATTAAGAGAATTAAATTTAGAAATCTGATCTTCCTCGGTGATTCGAAAGATTCTTGTTTACTCCCATTACATTACTAAACTCTCATTTTTCAAAAATGAAAATTCAAAAGTAATTTCTTTGCGGATTGAAATTACTAACAAGCAAATTCTGATTTAAATTCAACTATTTACAGTTCCATTCTAAACTCAGCGTCACACGAATTCAATACTAAAATGTCTAAAAAGTACAAATCTCGAGAAGGAAGAAATCGAAATTTTAAACCATTAATTTTATTAGTAAAGGGGATTTTCCTGTGTGATTTGTTTGCAGTTCTGTCACAGATTTAAAGTACCATTACGTATTCAGAAAGAAGCAGTGAACCAGGAATGGGATACTGAAATTTGCGTGACACTAATCGGAGCATTGACTTGGGAGCATGACCACTTTGCTCCAACCAGTGTCACGCATATTTCAGTATTCTGTATATATTACGTATAATCTAATCCAAAAAGAAATGTTTAATTTTTTTTTTTTTTTGTACTGGCTTTACTTTCCAGTTTTTGAATCAGTTGTATTTAATTATTGGAGATACAAGTGGTCCCTGATTTGCATTTGTTTGACTTTTGAAAATTATTGTAACAACTACAACACTGATTGAAAGATTTTATTTCCTCTGAGATCTACAATCATTTCATTGCTATGTGGATTGTTTGATAAATAAGTGGATTTGTAGAAGGGATAAGAACCACTGTGGTTGCAGTTGTAGTTTTTATTTGACATATTCTCCATAGCTACGTTGATCCCACGGAATATACTAACCCATAGGTGGGGAACTGCGGCCTCGAGGCCGCATCCGGCCTCCGCGAGGTTCTTGTGCGGTCCTTTGTCACCTAGTACAAAATGGTAGAGTTCGTTTCAAACAACTATTGTACATCAACGCCATGACAGTTGCGCGAAAAATCCCGCCAAAGACAGTCATATTGTAACATGACGTCAGAATACTAGTCTGAAACGGACTCTAACACGCCATGAGCGAGGCTCTGCCCACAGCTAGCAGCGCCAACTACCCTTGTCTAAGAAAACAAAACTCGGTTCAGATCTCCCGTTTGAGTGTCACAACCTTGCTTTGGCTTCTCTGACTCGCATCTCCCAACGCTTCCCTGTTGCGATCTTCAGCAAACTGAGTTAACAGTGCGTGCTTATAACAGGTACACGGTTTTTATTGTATTTTTCTAAAAAGTACACACTTTTTTAAAGATATTATTGATATTCGTTTTTTTTTATCCACAGGTCAAATAGTAAGAGAAGAAAATTAGTGATAAAACAGAACATTTAATGTAGAATGGAGTTAGATTTTTTCTTTACTGCTGAGAAGATAAAATAATGTGTTTGTTGTGCAATACAGTTTTAAATACTTTAAAAAAAGCGAATGCAAATAAACACTATTTGACTCATAAAGAACATAAATATTTCGCTTTAGAAGGTGAATCACGAAAAGCTGCACTTCAAAAGTTGAAAAATGAGAAGCATCATCAGCAGGTATCTTTTAGTGCCTTTGTAAATCAAAATTCCACTGCAGTTGCTGTTATGTATAAAATAGCACATATACTTGGAAAAAGGGACAAACCATTTAGTGATACTGAAATAATTAAAGAATGTATTGTTGAAGCAGTGAGTATGTTAGATCCAAGAAATGTCGACAAATACAAACAATTACCTCTTTCAAGAAGAACTGTAACAGATC